CTTATTCAAATTTTAAACATTTTGAATAAATAATTACTATCCTCATGCCCCGGTACTTATCCTTAACAAACGAGTTGAGAAAAAAATAGATCAATAATATAAGAAATAAAATATATACACTTCCATACACATTATATAAAAAATACATACACAAAGGACGTCTGTAATTTAGCTTGTATATGTACCGTAGGTGGATCTGCAGATTTCCAAATGATCAGTTCTAGCCCACGGGCCAGGAGTGTTATGAATATTATGTCCTTTTTAGCAGGAGAGAGTACCGTAAGTGGAGCGGCCACACTTCAAACAAGGCAGTGTTAGCATTGGGAGCAATAAATGAGCTATAGTCCTTTTGACGTTTTATTAAATTTTTGTGTTTTATAAAGTTAGTTGAAGATAATCCCCCAACTATCATGTTCGGAGGGTTTCAGGAAAATCCATCAAGTGGTTAATGAAACATTTTGCAAGCAGTCAGACACAGTTTTCATTCATGCAACCTTTATTTATACATTTTACATATACATATTTTATACAGGTTAGTTTCAATGAGTCACAAGGACTACCCAAATATTTGTAAGGCTCGACAAACTCAATAGGAACACCGCTTGTAGATAAGATAGAAGAAAGGACTGCTGGTACCGACTTCCTGTTTGAAAACAACATCCCTTTGGTTTTATTGGCATTTAGCACCAGTTTGAGACAGAACATGTCAAATGAAGACTGTAAAAGATGGACAACCTTAGCAACTGTTTTATATCAAATTTTAAACATTTTGAATAAACAACTGTGCCGTCTGCAAAAAAAATGTAAGGATGCATCAGGAATGATCTGATTTACATTGCAAATGTAGATTGTGAAGAGGGCAGGTCCTAAGATAGAGCCTTGTGGTACACCATTGTTGACAGGTATATAGCTGGAAGTTGACTTCAATAATTATTATATTATATGATCAGTTAGTACTCAGAGTTTGTGTTGAGGATGACTCTCAGCTACTACCTCAGCAAATTTTAGCTCGATATTTTGTTAAAATGTCCGAGTTATAGCCATTTTGGTGTTTGCTACGTTTGCTTTGCTGTTGTGGTCCTTGTGAACAGGGTTGACTCCAAATGGTACATGTTTGTCGTCGTACGTCCAGTGATTAATTTCTGAGAGTTTCGTTAAAATACGTTCAAAAGTTTTTGAGATATTTTGTTAACAGACGGGGGAAAAAACACAGTCACAAGCAACATCATTATCACTGCTTGGCTTTTGGTGTCAGGCGATAAAGACAAAAATAACATAAACAATGTGTTATTTTAATTTTATATTTTGAAAAATAACCCTTAATTTTACACACTGAAGTGATTTCCCAATTAACTGAAGCCTAAACTTAGTTATTTTTAAAGCATCTCTAAGTGGAGAAGCTGTTGTCTGAAAGCTCACTTGCCAAGATATTATTTTAACTCCGAGTATGTGTCAGCTTCTAAAACCACAGCGTTGATCTGGGTTTTATGTTTAGATGTGCAGAACGGATAAAGTACGTAAATAAGACAGATCAGGAGCCGGTGGATGGCATGTTTTTCCAGCTAGAGTTAGGTGGGATGTTGTTCCTGTGTAGAACGAGGCGCAGATACGCACAAATCTCTGCTCTGGATTAGAGCCGTGCACTGATTCCTTGAAGATGAGTTTCCTGTCAAACACTAAATGCAGTTTCAGATCTTCTGTTGGAACATTTTGTCAAGGGAAGGCAGTAATGGTTTGTGTGCTGGTTTGTCTTTACTGTTAGTATTTTACTTCATGAACCTATGGAGGAATTTTAAGAAACGTCCAGAAAGTAAATAGTATCTGTGCACCTACAGCTTACCTTTTGAAGCTAACCCATTTCAAGATGGGCGCTACAATGAATTAGCATTAGCCAACACAAAAATGACTGTAACTCAGTCCGTTCTAAGAATATTGAATGATAACGTGATATGTTAGTAGCTAAAAGGCATTCAAAACACAAACCTTGAACCGACAGATTACACATAAGATTTAACCAAAAGAGCTTTAACTCCATGCCCTCATCATGAAATAATCCAAGTTTTAATCTCTACCCTGAAATGTAGTGAATGTGCATTCCTTTAAGGAATGCTAGACCTTTATTGGGACATGTTTTAATCTAAAAAGAGCCAAAATTACTAACTTAAAAAAAAAAATTATTCTTGCAGAAGCAGCAGTCCATCCCCTTCTATACTGGGAAGCCATTTCCCAGCATCCTTCACTCCAGAACGGCTCATATAAGGGGTCGCTACACCCCTAGACCTCTTCTCAATCCAATCCGCAGCGGGACGGGGCTCTATTTCTCCCTTTCGTCTCTTCATAACGAAGAAGATGAGCAATGCGCCGTGATACCGTGAGTAAGGCCTAGAAGCCCCGCCCCCTTTCCCTTCATAGCGTCACCTTCTGGTTGTTTGAGGTTGAAGGAGAACAAGAACATGTTGATTTAATTCTGCTTCCCTCTCCTCAGATATGTCAACGTGGGTCCAGACTTCCAGGCAGATCTTCCTCCTTGCGTTGCGGAGGACAAGTGGTCAAACGCCTGGTCGCCTGAACAAGAGTCACCTCGAGAGGAGCTACTCTGGAAACCATGGGACGAGCTACAACAGAGCACACACATACAAGACAAAGGTAAGAGGAAAACACAAAGACATGGCTGAACTGCCAAATATGTCAATATTACTATCAAAGAAAAGGTCCAGCGTTCCTTGAAGGTTTACGTATCGCCCACCACCTTTCATGAGGAGCTTTAAGGCCGTGGTCACAGGTGAACGATCTCTGGAAATGTTTGCGTTCTTCAGTGTTGATGGTGAATCAACAGAAAAAGAAACATGTTTACACTGTAACACCATGCTATAGTTTCCATGCCAGACAGGAAATGACAAGCTATCACGCTGTTCCTTAAAATTGTTTATATTTTGACCCAAACTAACATATATGCTGAGTGAAGGTGCTTAACCCTTGAACTATTGAATTAAAACGGTAAATATTGTATACTTGGCATCACGTCACTAACTGGTGATTTTTGGCTTTCAATGAGACACGTGTGTTCGCAGACAGTTCAGCCTCGAGTACATAAACCGTTATGTCTAAAATGATGAATACATAAGCTCTGGTTTGGTCCAAAGATGATATTGGGTTGCTCTGACATGTTGAAAAGGTGATCAGCACAAACAGCACTCTGCTACTCTACATGTCTGTCTAAAACAGGTCTCTCTTGTAAATGAGTCCTTGTAACTCACCTGTTTAAATAAAGGTTGAATGAATGAATGTTATCCACCAGTACTTAATTTGAGCCAAATCCTGTCGGAATAGGATCTGGGAACTCTTATTTTGACAGTGTGCGTTTCTTTAACTGTTTGCTAGGATCTGCCTTGGATCCGGTAACTCTCAGGATTACTAATAATAAAGTTATGAACAATTATGACTGCCTTGAGCAAATAAAACTTAGATTGGATGTGAAAACTGAAATTCTATAAACACTAATTTTAAACACAACAGCCATGTTACGAGCATACGAGCTGCCTCTTCAAGTAGCAATTCCGCGTCTACTTAAAAAAAAAAATTCTGCCCCTAAAAGAGTGGTGGGGGGAGTATCGAGCTAACCAGGCAGTTGCATGCGGGCAGGAGCCCACAGGCAGCCGCCTGGAGGTTTCACATGGGGAGTCGGACAACAACAAGCAGGGACAGTCGGGCTCGGTTTCGACCCTAACTTACTTGACGGTTCCGTCAGTGCTTGACAGAATGAAAGTGTTTACATTAGGAAAACCTTGATGTTTAACAACCCGTTAAAATACAACCAAATGCAGGAAACCGCATCTACTTTATTCAAAAATTTCTTGGGGAAGACACCCCCCCACTCCATGCCAGCTCATCTGCTATTTGCGGTCCGGCATCAGTCGGTTTACAAATTATGCCCTGATATCCACCATTGAAACTGTTGTCCAGCTTCTCCACGCCTCTTCACAGGATCTACAAAAACCTTCAGTTTCAGAGAATACCACCGCTGCTGTCACGTAGATGAACAGCAAACTGTAGCAGAAAAGCAAGTTTCACTTGAAAACGGTGCCGTGCAAACTGGACCTATAAGACCATCCAATAATGAGTCATGGGCAAACCTTGAGAGTAGCATCATGCGCTCGCTCCTATGTAAGATCGCAACATCTCTTGTGATCTTTTAGGACTTGGAGGATGTGTCGTGAATGACCGTCGGCTACCACCACACCAAAATTTAGCTCGATACCTGTAAAATTCACTGAGGTAGTCTTTGCGTAGCCTAAAGCTAACTTGTCTTGAAGTGAGTTGATTCTAAAAGTTAATGAGATGTGGATGTTTATCCAAGAATTACTCTCTTCTTCTTTCGGCTTTTCCCTCTTCAGGTGACGCCACAGTGAGTTCTCTTCCATCTCACGCTGTCCTCTGTATCCTCTGGTGGCGGTCGTTGTTAACTTGGGCCTCGACCAATTTAGTATGGTGTTGCTTAGCATATTAGCATATTAGTTTTGGCATGTGTTTTACGTTGGATGCCCTTCCTGACACTACCCTCACCATTTACCTGGGCTTGGGACCAGCACAAGAGATACACTGGCTTGTGCTCTCTAGTGGCTGGTTTCCAACTCTCTTAGAGTTTCATTTAGCTAATGATGAAGACATATGTTTTGTTTGTGTTTATTTTGTAGTGGAGAAGCTGTTGTCTGTGTGCAGTTCCAGTTGTCTGCCAGGAGGGGGCAGCAACACAGAACTAGCTCTGCACAGTCTGCATCACTGCCAGGGCAACACCATGGTGAGTCCCACTCTGGTCATCCTTCTGTTTATTTTATTATTTAGACATCGGACCGTTGTCTGTCACACCTTGTGTATCTTTAACCACGTACTTATTGCTGTTTCTTCCCGGTCTTCTTATTGTTTTTCTGTTTTTTGTTCTCCATCCTGTTTCTCTCTCATCTGTAGGCCACATTAGAGATGCTGTTGTTTTCTCAGCCCTCGCCAACAGGAGACTACCACTACTCAGGTAACCTCTGACCTCATTATATTCTGCTTTTATGTACTGACCGTTCATCCAGTATGTGTGGATTTTAACACTATGAGCTCTAATAGTTTCAAGACTGTAGTTAAGAAAACATTAGTTACAGTTAGTTTATTTATAAAGCACATTTCAACACAACTCGAATTGACCTAGCTAAAAAGCTAAAGCTAAAAAATGTCATAATAAAATAAAAGTAGCATTCCTGTAAGGAATCATCACCCGCTGTCTTGCATGTCAAAGTTTTAAGCCTCCCTAAAACTGAGGCCTTGTGGGTCATTTTGACCCAAGGGCAGCAGGAGGGTTAAAAAGATCTAATTGTTAACACTCTGAGCATGTGATCGGGATGACTCTCAGCTACTACAAGACCGAGTTAGAGCTCAATATTTGTAAAAATGATTGGGTTGTAACCACTTTTGGGTTTGCAATGGTTGCCCAACTATGGTGGCCATCTTAAATTGCGTTGACTAAAAGAGTTATGTAGTTATACCTGTGATTTCCCAAGGGTTTTAGTAAAATCCATCAAATGAGTCATGAAATATTTGGCTAACAGACATGGTGTTGACCCTTTTCCAATGTTTTGGACAAAAATCTTGAATGACCTGTTACGTGTTGGGGATAATTCTGCTCCCGCACCACTTTTTAGATCATTTTCTGTAAAAACACAATGCACATCCAATATTTTGCTAACAGACAGACAAATGAACAGGCCGTTTGTTTAAATTTGTGCACAACCTGAGTTAAACTGAGGTTAGCCTCGCGTGTTGTACGCTGCGGTAAAATTAGTACAAATGTCTTGCTTGAATTATGGAAACGCACTGACAAAAGTTAATTAAAATTTTATTCAAATTTAATTAAACGTGGAACAAAAATGATTCAAGCTGGTAAAATGAGTTGGACTGGTCACAGGCTGCACAGCAAAATGAGTGAAAGTCTTAAATCTTATCGTTTTAGATTCCTTCAACATTTACTGTGTTTATCTGCTGGGAAATCCCTTTGTATAATGTTTGATCTCATTGTGAAGCTATGGGATCCTCCTTAAAATATACAGTATTTTTCGGACTATAAGGCACACTTAAAATCCTTTAATTTTCTCAAAAATCGACAGTTAGTCTTTTAATCCGGTGCGCCTAATTGGTCCTGTCACGATAACAAATTTGGCTGGGCAATTAATTGTCTCAGAAATTATTGCGATAAACGATAATATTGTTTGAAATTTAACAATAATTAATTGTCGAATTTTAGAAGAAATGCTGGTTTGTTTGGGGTGTAGTACCTTTTTTGACCACTTGATGGCAGTATAAGACTGAACCAAAGGATGAATAGTTGAGCAGCGTGTCTCTTTAAGAAAAATCTGAGGGAGAGCCCTTGACATGATATGGGGAACGTTTGGTGTTTGGATCGCTTTAGCATAGCATTTTTCACACAAAGCTTTAAAAATAAAAAAAAATCAGTAAACAAGTTCTCAGCTTCTTTTTGCAGAGAAAAACAACTTTTTACACGAAGGCACGGGTTTCAACTGTGAATTTTGGAGCTTGCCAAGACGGAGGTTTATTCCCGAGGTCGGCTTGTTAGCTTAACTCGTAGCTTAGCTTCTCAGCTTATCTGCTTTTAACGATCCAAAAGTGCGATTTGGGATCGTTAAAACGGATTTTAATGAGAAAAGAGAAAGGGAGGGGTCAGTGAAGAGCTCCGGAGTTGAGCTTTTTGTCATCCAGTGTCTTCAGTAGAAAGAGAGACACGAAGAAACGATAAAGCCGATAAATGAAAATGAGGTTGATAATTTTCATTCATCATTCAATTAGTTGATTTATTGTGTATCGCGACAGGCCTACGCCTAATTAATTCTGGTTGTGCTTACTGACCTCGAACCGATTTTATGTGGTACACGGCACTCAAAAATCTGCCAAAATGAACTTGTTTTGCTTAATGCGCTTTATAATCGGGTGCGCCTTATAGTCCGAAAAATACGGTAAGGCGACGTCAATCTGGACGAGTTTCCAAACCAGCGTTCTTGTTAAAACTAGCTCGTTGCCAGAAACACGGGAAGTAACTTTAGGCATGAGTGGCGTGCACGTTTGCCTCAAAATGACTTGAAGTTTAGGCTGAGCTGTGATAACAAGTTTGATATTAAAACAGTAAAATTATGAAATAATAAATCACTTCTCATTTTTAATTAAAGCCATTCAGTTTATATTTTAGTAGTGCTAATTGTGATGTAAGCAGTCTAATCTGTAGAAAACAAAATGGTGAATGTGCATGAAAAACACTAGTTAGTCTGTAAAAACAGGCGTTTCCTCAGCACAGTGGAAGTCATTGTCACATGCTCCTTCCATCCACCAGTCTGACCCTTCATCTCGTTTAAACCCACAAAGAACGGAGCACAAAGCAGACGTTGTTCTGTTCCAACTTCCTCTCAGGTGAGTTTTCAGGCTCCTGACAGCTAAACATGGTTTAGATGTCTCAGATTCCTGGCGTGTTCCTCGACTCGCTCCCAGCTCGGACTACGAACCACCTCAGGTTTCCAGCCTGCGTGTGATTTACAGACTCACCCAACTGGTTATCACAAACACAAACGTTCCTCAGACTCAGTCTCACCTCCGTCGTCAGAACCAGAACTGTTCACTGCAGTGAACAGTTTGTCATAATCGACGACTTTAGATGAGTCTTCAGCCTGTTTGACTTCCTGTGTCGTTAAAATATTTGACCTCATCTAAACTTGTCGAGGTCTCTTTAAACTTTGAAAAACATGCTTTTGTCTTTGTGCTACTTTGAGTTTTAAACTCCTGTTCTTCTATTTAAGCTTTTCGATATCGTTTTGCCTCCTTTAGCTTATATTTTGCCACTTTTAGCTAACCTTTTACAGCTTTTAGCTAGCATTGTGCTAATACCTTTAAGCTAGGCTTTCGCTACGCTATTCTAGTTAGCATCTTGCTATTTTTAGTGTCTTTGCTTGCCTTTTGCTTTACTATAAGATTCTAGCTAACACTTTGCCACTTGAGCTTTTATTTAGCATTTTGCACATTTTTGCTTGTCTTTTAACACTTTTTGCTAGCTCTGCATGGTTTTTAGCTAGGCTGATGCTACTTATAGCTTCTAGCTAACATATTGTAACTTTTAGCTAGACTTTAACTCCTTTTAGTTGTTAACCATTTTGCTTCTTTTAGTTGGTTTTGCTTACTTGAGATTTTTGCTTCTGTTTTTCTGCTTTAAAGTAGTTAGCTAGTTAGCTAGCTTTTTAATATTTATGTTTTGGCTTGCTTTTGCTACTTTTAGCTTCAAACTAACATCTCATTAGTTTTAGTGCTTAGTTAGCATATAGCTATTTTTGCTTGTCTTTTGCTATAAGATTATAGCTAACACTTGGCCACTTTTAGCTTTTATTTAGTATTTTGCACATTTTTGCTTGTCTTTTAACACTTTTTGCTAGCTTTGTATGGTTTTTAGCTAGGCTGCCCTTAGCAAAAAGTAGTTTATTTAAGTATATTACAAATATACTTATTTTACACTAAAAATGAGGAAGTGTACTTGAAGTTTACTTTTTATAAACTTTATGTGATATACTTAAAAATAGTATAAAAATGTCCCAATTTAGTCCAAACAAGTATTAAATCGGTATACTTCTAGTACACTACAAGTATGGTGTGTAGTATAATTGATATACTTATACTTAAAGTATACTTGCAAAAATAAACTTCAAAATGTACTACTTTTTGTTAAGGATGATGCTACTTATAGCTCCTAGCTAACATATTGTAACTTTTAGCAAGACTTTAACTGCTTTTAGTTTTTAACCAATGTTTAGCTTCTTTTAGTTCGCGTTTTGCTTACTTGAGATTTTAGCTAGTGTTTTTCTGCTTTAAAGTACTATTTAGTTATAGCTTTTAGCTAGCTTTTTATTATTTATATTTTGGCTTGCTTTTGCTACTTTTAGCTTCTAACTAACCTCTCATTAGTTTTAGTGCTTAGTTAGCGTATTGCTATTTTAGCTTGTCTTTTGCTGCCTAGCATTTTCTTATTAGTTTTTAGCCAATTTTTTTAGCAACTTTAAGCTTATCTTTTATTTTTCTCATTTAGCTTTTAGCAAACTTTTTGCTACATTTAGTTTTATAGCTGGTGTACAAACATTTTGCTGCATTTAACGAATGTTTTATGCCTTTTAGTTTTTAACTAATGTTTACCTTCTTTTAACTAATGTGTTTTTTGTTTCAGCTTTTAGCTACTATTTTGCTACATTTAGCTGTTTGTTAGTGTTTTGCACGGTTTAGCTTGATTATGTCAGTTTCAGTGTTTCCAGCACATTTCAGCTGTCATTCAGCTCTGGGCATTCAAGCACAAATATTTTACAAAAAGTAATTTTTCTACTTTTCCTTCTTGGCCCCTGCCCCCTCTCCCTGTGCAGGTTGTGATTTTTGGACGGACGCTGAAAAGAGTCTTTTCAGCGCAGCGTTCACGAAACACGGAAAAGACTTTTCACTCGCAGAGAAAATGGTAAAGCTTTCCTTCATGAGGGATTCTTATTTTTGCTGCACTCGTTCCAGGGTTGTCCTTCATCTGTCTTCATCAGATTTGAATTTGTCAGATGGAATACAGCAACATTTAATGCTTTGCTGAACAAACCCCTGGAGAAGAAACACTTTTGTACCAAAGGCATTTTAAAAATGTAAAAAATGTTTTTTTAACTGACTTGTACTTCTTCTAGAGGCTAACAGTAAAAAGTGATAGGTCAGCTCCTTTAAAGTGGGGTTCTGTGGAGAGGTTATGAACAGTTAATATCTTATCTGTTGTAGATAATGCTTTAAACAACCTCAGTTTGGATAACGTCTGAGTCCTTGCTCTTTAACGGGGACAGCATTAAACTCTATTCAGTGTTTCCCCTAGATCAGTTCCCTCGGCGGGGCACTCGTGTTTTATTTTTGTCGGGGGGAGGGACGAGACGTAGTCACGTCTGTGTAGTCCCCGCCTGCTAGCTTAGCGCTACGTTGCTGCCGGTTTTATCGATGGGGGTACGTAAGTAGCATTTTTGCTTGTGCGTTTGTAGTGGGGGGGGTGGGGGTGGGGGGTAGGCAGGGCAATCGGTTCCGGGGCGGGGCGCTCCACTTGTATAATGGTAGGGGCCACTGCTATTTATCCAAGCTGAGGTTGTTCAAGAAGCTATGTACAACAGGTAAGATACTATCAAAGTACACACCAGTTTTTATGTTTAATGTGTATATATATATATATATATATATATATATATATATATATATATATATATATATAGATAGATAGATAGATAAGAAAAACAGATATTTTGTTGAACAACTACCATATTTTCCAGACTATAAGTCACTTTTTTCATAGTTTGGCCAGTCCTGCGACTTATATATGTGTTTTTTTTTTCTATTCATGACGCAATTCTTGACTGACATGTTAAATGTTCATTCATACTGACATGAACCAAAAAGTAAACATTACCATTTGCAGCTGCGAGAGGGCCCTCTAGGCTTTTGACAACTACATGTTGTTCCTCTACACCCCCCAAACATTCACTTTGAGAAAACTGAGAAAAACTTAACAGAAGTAAAATGGCCCCAAAAGTGATGTGAAATGAGCGAGGCGAATTGACAACTTTCTTGTCGGACTTGTTATGTTAATTAACTGTTCAGGATCCCAGATACGTTCTGTGTGTTGTTATTTCAGATTAAATTCTTGCACTTTGTGAAATACACTTCTAAATAAATGCGACTTATACTCTCAAGCGACTTATATATTGTTTTTTTCCTCTTCGTGAGCCATTTTCTGACTGATGCGACCTATACTCAGAGTGACTTATAGTCTGGAAAATACGGTACACTAGTAGTTGGTTGATGTTGATGCTCTGCTCTGATTATTTCCCCGAGTATGAAGGAGATTTAGTATGTCCCTGAAGTGCAGTGAGGACAGCGCTGTTTTCATGCCCGTACCTGTTCAGGTTTTTTAATGACTAACGATGATACAATAAACTGCACAGGAACAGTTTGAAAAATGCATCAACAAAGCTCTGTTTACTGCTGGAGGCTGACGCCGTGTTTTTTAAACAGGTGAGGACAAAGACCGTGTCCCAGTGTGTGGAGTTTTACTACCTGAGCAAAAAGCTCCTGGACAAGCAGAAGAAGCTAAAGGAGGACGAGTGCAGGGATGCAGACGAGCTGCAAAAATGTGTAAGAAACGCTTTGTCTTCGTAGCATTATCGTTTTAAATTTACAAACACGCTGAAAGTCTGGCCCCATTTTCCCCACGAACCCTCTTTTTTTTTTTTTAATTCTGTGGGTTCAGGTGTTACGTGCCCTCAGACCTGTGAGACACGGTTTTGTTTTTGTTGTTTCATTTGGAGTATTTGTGCAGTCTTGTTTAATGAGCTCAAGACAATTATCCTGCGTGGAATGCCGCTTGGTGAGTCACTCAGTTTTTCAGCTCATAAGTGGTCCCGTTTTTCCAGATGGCGCCCTTCTCCCGGCCGTTAGAAAGAACGCTTGCGCTGGAGGAGGCGGTGCCCGCTCCCTCCACGGCCAGCTTCTTCCCCTGTAAGCTGTGCGGAAAGTGAGTAAAAACCGGACTTATTAAAAGATGCTCGTCTTTTTGTCTTCAGGGCAACAGGTGGTTCCGATTTTCACGGCTTCTATTTTATTTATTTTTTTAATGCTTTTCATTTCCGCTCCAGAATGTTCTACAAGATCAAATCCCGGAACGCTCACATGAAGATCCACCGTCAGCCCCAGGAGGACTGGACCGACAGGCGGCTGCAGCACCAGCTCCTCGCGCAGCGTCTGGCCCTCGGTCGTCCCAGCAACCTCATATCCAGCCCAGGAAGTAGTCTACTCCCACCACAGACTTCAGCTTTGACGTTCCCCTCCTGCGGCCTCCCGTCGAGCGCCAACAGCATCGCTAACCATAACGTTGATATTCTAGATGCTAGCACTGCGGAGGCTTACAGCAACATCACTCCTCAAAACTCTCATTTAATCACCTTCAGTGATGGTGGTGACCGAAAAGATCCCAGCAATGTGTTACCCTTCCACCAACCTTGGGGCTCTTTCGGACCCCCCTCAGACCTCTCTACCTTTTACTGCCTCCCTGAGGGAAAGGAAGCTGCGGGAGCTGAGGCCGTGGAGGGAAAAGAGACCATCATCTGGCAATAGTTCCTCTTTTACAAAAGCATTACGATCACAAGCCCAAGTTTCTGTATCAAACTGAGTGCATTTATATTCAAACTTGTTTTATATTCAAACTTTTGTACTTTTTTAAAAATTCAAACTTAAAAACAAACAAACTATTTTTGTTGTTTCTGCTGTAAATTTTGCACTGAAATGTGTAACATATTTAAATATTTGTCATACATTTGAGATTTTAATAAAACTGACCTTCCAGTTGTTTGTCATGTTGTTTCTGGGATTTCAAATTTAGGTTAAAATAAAGATAAATCATGTCAGTGAGCTTTAGAGATGCTATGCTAGTAGGCTACCGTCAGCTAGGCTAGCCATGCTATGTCTTTGCGCTACACTATACCGAGCACAACTATGCTATGCTAACAAACACTTGATTTCAGCTTTATCATAATCAAAATTGACACTCCTGTCAGCTAAATACCTATAACTCAATAAAAAAGGAATGAACAAGTTTTCAAAGATTCAAACTGTCATTTTAGCTAACTTTAGAGATGCTAGTAGCCTGTCACGATAAACAATAAATCAATTAATCACATGATAAATGAAAATTGTCGACCTCATTTTCATTTATTGGCTTTATCGTTTCTTCGTCTCTCTCTTTCTACTGAAGACACTGGATGACAAAAGGCTCGACTCCGGTGCTCTTCACTGACCCCTCCTTTTCTCTTTTGTCTTTAAAATCCGTTTTAGCCGTCCAAAATTGCATTTTTGAATCGTTAAAAGCAGCTAAGTTGAGAAGCTAAGCTACGAGCTAAGCTAGCAGGCCGACCTCAGGAAAAACCTTCTTGTCGAAGCTCCAAAATTCACGGTTGAAACCCGTGCCTTCATGTAAAAAGTTGTTTTCCTCTGCAAAAAGAAGCTGAGAACTTGTTTACTGATTTTTTTTTTAATCAAAAGCTTTGTGTGAAAAATGCAATGCTAAAAGTGCTCAAACCACACGAGCGTCCGCCATTTTGAGAACCGAAAAAAAGGAAGGAGAGACGGCCCATGTCACATCAAGGGGCCTCCTTCCCTATTTTCTTAAAGAGACGCGCTGCTCGCTCCCTCACTATCCATCCTTCAATTCAAACAGTCTTATACTGCCATCCGGTGGTCAATAAAAGGTACTACACTCAAAACAAATTAACCAACATTTCTTCTTAAATTTGATAATAATTACTAATTACTGTCAAATTGCAAAAAATATCATTTATCGTAATAATTTCTGAGACAGTTAATCGCCCAGCAAAATTGTTATCACGACAGGCCTACTAGTAGGCTGGACACATTTCAAGCCTTTATGCTAAACTAAGCTAACATCCATCCATCCATCCATTATCTTTACCCGCTTCTTTCATGTTGGGTCACGGGGGTCGCCGGTGCCCATGTCCGGCAATCATTGTGTGAGGGGCGGGGGACACCCTGGACAGGTCACAAGTCCATTACAGGGACACATAGAGACAAACGAGAAACAATCATTCACTCTCACTCACACCTAGGGACAATTTAGAGTTACCAATCAGACTAACATGCATGTTTTTGGTCTGTGGGAACTAAGCTAACAAATTTCTGATTTTAGTTTCTTGTTTATCAGGTTTTAAATTTGATGACTGTCTATTGTTGACATTGTTATCCAGTGTTGTCATCACTCTTTGTTAAGAAATCAGGTCTCTTGTAAATGAGTCCCTGAGGCTCAGTGGGATTGACCTGTATAAATAAAGTTGAATGAATGAATGAACAAATCAGTGCTCTTGTCAGCAAACAAATATTAACAATGATGAGTAATGAGTTCTTTGACTGATGAAGCCTTCCGGATGGAAGGCAAAACGTTTCAGCACAAAAAAAATAAAGAAACTGTCCAGATGACCTGACTGAAAAATGTTGGAGTAATGAGTGTTTCCAGAATTAAAATGTGTCATGTTAGCAGGCTCTATGCTAACAGGCCATTCCAAGGCTAGCCATGTCTTTATACTAAACTGAACAATGCTAAGCTAACAAACGCCAGATTTTATCTTCATGTTTATCAGAATCTAAATTTATGTGGGGTTTTGCAGCAAGATAAAAGCAATTCATATCTTATTTGTTGTCATTTGCTTTTTGAAATACCTCAACTTGCAGAAATAGAGGTTAATTTTGACCAGACTAACAAGCTATTGCTAGTTTCAGCAGAGCCAAGACCAAACAACTCTGTTGTCCTAAAACACAGAAATACATCTTTATAGATTAGTTTTCAAAACCTTTACATCGTTGTCTATGTTCTATACAATGGTATTATGGTTGTGTTATTATACATCCCTGCAGGAAGTGCCCCACACATCACCAGAAGTGCTACAGCTAACTGCTGCTGCAACAAATGGTGCTATAAAATTTTATTTATATAAGCACAAAATGCAATGGTGTAAAAGTTTATAATTAAGAGATTAGCTTAGACTACCTATAACTAGACCTGTCACGATAACAAATTTTGCTGGGTGATTTATTGTCTCAGAAATTATCGCAATAAATGATAATATTGTTTCAAATTTGACAAAAATTAGTAATTAGTGTCAAATTTAATGGTTGGTTAATTTGTTTTGAGTGTAGTACCTTTTATGACCACCGGATGGCAGTATAAGACTGTTTGAACTGAAGGATGGGTAGTGAGGGAGTGAGCATCGTGTCTCTTTAAGAAAAATGGGAGGGAGGGCCCTTGACGTGACATGGGCTGTCTCTCCTTCCTTTTTTTCAGTTCTCAAAATGGCGGACGCTCGTGTGGTTTGAGCTCTTTAGCTTAGCATTTTTCACACAAAGCTTTTAATAAAAAAATCAGTAAACAAGTTCTCAGCTTCTTTTTGCAGAGAAAAACAACTTTTTACACAAAGGCACAGGTTTCAACCATGAATTTTGGAGCTTTGACAAGACGGAGGTTTTCCCCCTCGAGGTCGGCCTGTTAGCTTAGCTCATAGCTTCGCTTCTCAGCTTAGCTGCTTTTAACGATCTAAAAACGCGATTTTGGACGGTTCAAATGGATTTTAAAGACAAAAGAGAAAGGGAGGGGTCAATGAAGAACACCATAGTTCAGCCTTTTATCATCCAGTGTCTTCAGTTGAAAGAGAGACACGAAGACACGATAAAGCCGATAAATGAAAATGAGGTCGGTAATTTTCATTTATCATGCGATTAACTGATTTATTGTTTATCGCGACAAGCCTATCTGCAACAGGTAAGACATTAACTGTTTAAGATTTGCCATATGACTTTACTTCAAAACAGCTGCGAAATGGCTTTAGGTTCTGAAATCAGAACCAGAAAACCTTTTATTTCCATTGAAAACAATAAAAATGACAGCAGAGCTTTGCTTAGACAGTTTGCTAAAAGGATTTTGGACAAACACCATAATGGGCTAATATTGACCATTCAAGACCATCTCCTCCCTTTCAGGTTCCTGAGTGCCCAGAATGGCTCAGCTGACTGTAAACTACTCTGATTATACCCATGATGTGTGAATTACTGTGAAGGAAAGACACCAGGAAAGGGTCAGGGTGTGGAAAGTGAAGCATGTTGACAAACCCCACAGACAAAAGCTTTAAAATAGTTTCTGAAACAACAACAAAAGTCCTGCAGCGACCCATTTCTTTTGTTCGATTCACTCAGAGGTTACTGGGTAATGCTTGTGCAGTTGTCCGGTCGCTGAAGTGAATTTCACAAGGCGCCGAGCGTTCTTTGATCTTCTAAAGGGTTACTACCACTCTGACAGTGATAACCCTGTGTGCTTGTGATATTGGTGATTGAATCTGTTTGTATGCATTCTGGAGCAGCGTGTGTTTCACTGATAAGTGGTTCCTCCCCTAAATCATTCCCTCCCCTCTGGCAAAAGTCCACCACAGTTTGTCTACCCTGCTTCAAATTCTTTCCGACACTTCTCATGTCTGTGACAGAAAATACAAACTGTCTACATGTCTTAAATGTTTTCTTGATTCTGCACCATACACAGAT